AAAAGGGAGACTTAAAAGAAGGCCGGAAGAGGGCAGTGCAGCCCATTTAGAAATGAAGATAGTCCGCAGCTGATCCAATTCGGCAAAGTATGTTTCTTTTTTTTTGGCTTCTAAACTGCTTTTTTTTCGTTTCGCAATTTTGCTGCATCTTTAACCCTCTTATCTTTCTTACACAAAGGTCGTTCGAGCTGGTTTAAATGTCGAAATTGCCCCTGACCTTATTGCGAATCAACTCAATGTCCGCAACGGAGCATTAATCTTGCAGGTGATCTTTCGTACTCAATAATATGCCGATTCTTTATCAATTGTCAACGTTTTAATTCCGATTTAATTGGAACTCACTTTTTAAATTATTATTTATTTATTTTTATAATAGGTTCCGGTGGATAGTTTAGCAGCTAAAGCGGGGTTTCTACCAACTACAAGGGGTTTTGCTGGCAAAATCGTGCTCGGGGACATAATATTGGCGGTGGATGGCAAAACGGTAATTAAGCTCTTCTTACGATCGTTATTTTTCAATTGCATGATCGTATAATTGAGTACTTTTCGACAAATAATTTGTTGACAGGTAAAGAATAGAGCAGAATTGTACAAGACATTGGATGAGTATAGTATAGGGGACAAAGTTGTCCTAAATATTATGAGGGGCAATCAAATTTTGGAACTGCCTATTGTTTTAGAGGAAAATAATTGATGAAAGTTTTCTTAATTAATACAGTAAAAACAATTATTCGAGTGATGAATATATAGTAATATAACATATATATATTTTTTTGAATATATTTGTAATTTATATTTGTTTTTGTTTTTTTTTAATGTGATGTGGACTTCGTTTTTTTGGTAATTTATTATATTAATTCATTCTTTATAATAAGAAATACACAGTAAATAGTTTATTTATACACACTTGCACGTTGATTTCTTAACACTACCCTATTGGATTATTCGGTTTGTGCAATTTCGCAACAATCATCTCTTCTCAAATACGACAAAAAAAAAATGAAAAAAAAAATGAAAAAAAATGAGGTATTTGTATGTATTTAAGTAAACATTATTTTCAATGACAAATTTGTGGCTTTCTTCATGTGGATAAATGTGAATCGATTTCATCCTATTCACAATAAAGGTCAATTATAGTCGATACAATTAAAATTTAAAATTATAGTAAACAATTATATTGGGGGAAAACAATTGGATTATAAATTCAAGGTGTAAACACAAAAATAAATGCACGAGGGGGATGTAACTTTAATTAGAAGAAATTGACCAATTTTAGAGGTTAATTAGATTTCACGCATCAATTGGCAGGGCCAAGGCCCGCGGGCCCATAAAGCCCATGCAACAGACAGAAGAGGGTTTTGAAGTTCGAGCCTTGACCAAATTTCCAGGGATTTTGACTCTAGCTTTTGCCACTGTTTAATAATTACTATTTATTCAGCATTTATTATCCAGACACTATTTCTACTGTAATTAGTAAATTATCCTAAATTTACAGCTAATAAAAGATGTAGATTAAGTTTTATGTATTTAAGCTATATAGCTAAACAAAAATTTAGCATTCTTGAGTAGTTAAATGGCTAAATAAATATTTTAAATTGAAAATACAAAGTTGCTAAAGTTAATTGATGAATTAATTAACTTTTTTTTTTTCTACTGCACACGCTTGGCACTTTTAGTCAAAGCAGTCAACTCTAAGCAGTTGAACTGCTTCCTTGTTAAGGTTTGGTAAGCTATTTCATGTTTCCCTCCATTAAAATCAAATAATACCACTTAGACCACTAATTAATTAGCAAATTGATTTATTTAATTCAACCTTAAATTAATCACATTAAGTAGAATTGGTGTCTTATTTGCTAATAATACAAGACAAAGATCTAAGAATTAATTACTGATGCAAGAAACATATAACTAATACTGCACCTTTGCCTCAAAACCAGCAGCAGACCAAAAAGGTAATTTCCTAGCATTGCTCAAATACACTAATAAAGGGGTTAACCAATTATCCATGCAAGACTTAATTTTTCCTAATTTTCTAATTAAATCATTAAGTAAAGTTTAAGGAATCTCCACAAAGTTCAAGGTATCCGAATTCACATGTCACGTGTTCGTGTCTGTCGTAAACAAAGAACTAAGGAATAGAAGCTTTCCGCAGGAACGGAATAGAAGCTCGTTTTCAAGATCCAATATTCTAATAAAATATAATAATTTTCAATAAGAGTATGCATGGACAACAAGATATTGTTCAAAACACTAAATATCAAGATAGGGACTATAATTAAATAATTAGTACTATAAAGTATAAACTAATGGCAATACAAGAAGATTGCTTTGTCTTCTAGTCTTGATTGTAATAAGATATAAGGGAGAAGCAATCCATTCTTTAGAGTATTGGAACTTTGAATAACATATCCCAATACACTCATACTCTCATACCGACGAAATTGCATAATCGAGCAGGGGGGAAAAAAAAGGATAATGAATGAAACAGAGAAGAGTAGCACCATTGATGATGTCATCTTGCCGGGATTCCGTTTTCATCCGACCGATGAAGAGCTTGTCGAGTTCTATCTGAAGAGGAAGCTTCAGCAGAGAGCTCTTCCGATTGAGCTGATTAAGCAAGTCGAGATTTACAAATACGATCCATGGGACCTTCCAAGTAAGTATTACATATGCATAAGTCATAACCTAGGACAAGAAAGTTTAATCATCATTAATTATTAATTGATACTCAAATTCTTGATTTTGTGTAATAATAAACAGAACTGGCTTCGACTGGGGAGAAAGAGTGGTATTTTTACTGTCCGAGGGATCGAAAATACAGAAACAGTTCGAGGCCGAACCGTGTGACTGGATCGGGATTCTGGAAAGCCACGGGAACAGACAGGCCTATATATTCATCGGACGGAACAAAATGCATCGGTCTGAAAAAATCGCTCGTTTTCTACAGAGGCAGAGCTGCCAAAGGCATGAAAACTGACTGGATGATGCACGAGTTTCGACTTCCTTCTTCCACTACAGACGGTGGTGCACTTGCACCGCCAAGAAAGATTTTGGACAAGAACCTTCCACTAAATGTAAGCCTTCTCGTATTTTTTCTTCACAGTTCTCACATTACACCACCACTGTGTGGGATTAAAGCTTTATCTATTTTTTCGTAAAACAGGATTCGTGGGCCATTTGCAGGATTTTCAAGAAGACTACTTCGACCGCACACAGAGCTCTTTCTCACTCGTGGGAAACTTCACAGCCAATACCCGATCATGGTTTCGCTTATGGGTCCCACCAAACTCGGTTTAACTTGGAGAACGAGTTTCAACCGGCTAATAACTCTGGCATTAGCTTCCCCTCGTACAAAAATTTCTCAGCAGCAACTGGTACAACATCCACTTTCACATCTTCCGATGGGGAGTATTTCCATGGAAACCTCGTTTTCTCGCCGAACCAAGAAGTTTCGGGCAGAAGCAATGACAGCACGGTTGATCTTTCTTCCATGATCTTCAATCTGTCTTCCCCTGTATTAGCTGACAAGAATTCCGAGGCCATCGACTTTGAAGGGCAGTTCAACGGCTACTCAGGCAATTCGTCGAACATGTTGCAAGCAAGCATGAATGTAGAAGAAGAGCAACAAGCGGAGATCAGAAAGAACCAAAGTAATACAACAAACATACATAACAATAATAATGTGTGGGAAAACATACGTTCAATGGGGTTTCCGTTCAGCTTGCCGGCGGGCGGACAAGAATCTTGGAAGGGGAATCTGCCGTGGGATTCACCACCATGTCCGAGTGAAATTTCATCGACTAATTACTCAACAACGAGTGTTACACACAGTTGATACTGTGAAGAAGGTGTAATAGTTTTCTTTAATTTCAAGCTCTCTTTATGTAAAGATGATTACTATTGGCTTAAGATTATATGACAACAAGTAACTTTGTTTCAGTTATGGGGTTTCTGTATCAATGCACAATTTTTACAGCAACATAAAAGGCATCACGTAGATGTAATTCGGATAATCCAACTAAGTAATTCAGGTTAACTTCTGAAATTAAGACACGAATGTATTTTAATGTTCGACTGTTAGAGATTTTATATGGAACTGAGAATGGGAATTTATTTAATATATTTTGTATATATTGTCATCAAGTCAAGATGGCCGAGCGGTCTAAGGCGCCAGTTTCAGGTACTGGTCCGAAAGGGCGTGGGTTCAAATCCCACTCTTGACATTTTTAAATTTAAATTATATATTTTTTTGACATTTTTATTATTATTTTTTTTTGTTGTGTTCCATAGAATTTTAAAGTTGAGTTTTAAGAAAATCTTCACATTTTTTTCTTTCCCATTTTGTTGCAAAGAATCTTAAAGTTTAGTTTTAAGAAATTCGAACCACACGAGATAAGCCTTAGATTTCGTTATGACTAGTAAAATTCTATTACTTTAACAAAATACTAAATTATCGAACTAATAATTTAATAAGTTTGAAGAAATTATTATTTTCAGATTTCGTTATACAGTTAAACTTTTATAAATTAATAGAGTCGTGACTAGTAAAATTCTATTAATATAGCAAAATATTAAATTATCGAACTAATAATTCAAATATTTAATACATTTTATTTCAAACAAGGTTACATTTTTTAATATCTGAAGAAATTATTATTTAAACAAAGTTTAAAGATATATATTTTATTTAAACAAGTTAATTAATTTATCGAGATTCTGTATTGAATAAACACTCCTAAGTCCTAACATTTATTTTTGGCAAAACGTAAGCATTTGGCAAAAAATTGACATGTTAATAAATAGAATCCTAGCCCATTTTGATCCCTAATTCCCAGCATAGCATTGTACAAATCTTCACTGAAAAAAAGAACACCAAAAGAGAGAACATAAAGAAATAACAAGGATAACAACAATGTCAACGCCTTGACAACAATTAGCAACGAAAAAAAACATCAAGAAAATATTATGTCGGCAAATGAACAAACATTTTAAACAACGATGAAAGAGCCAAAAAACTTGAATTAAAAGAACTAGAGGTATTTGAAAACAGAATGTTCGACATCTCTTTCATCGTCATCATCATAGGCAAAAAAATTTCTAACATAATTTAGCTCTTGGAGGCTACTTTTTCCTTAGCCTTCTGAATCTTCAAAACCTTCTTCACAATCTTCTGCTCTTCCACCAAGAAAGCTCGAATGATCCTAGAATTATATATTAATAGAATTGTTCATTCACTTTCTTAATACGGCGCCAAAAAAAAAAAAAGAATAATAAAAAAATAGATATTCGTTACTCGTTACAAAAGTAGAACTAACCTCTCCCTTACAGCACTTCCAGATAAAACACCACCGTAAGGACGATTCACTGTCCTGCGGTTTCTTGATAATCTAGACCTCTTGTATTCAGCAGGTCGCAGATGAGGAATCTGAGTTTTAAGTTACAAAAACACGTAATTAATCTTCTTAATCGTTGATGCAATAACAATTTATAAATGGGTGTTGTCCTTCAAAGAATCGAATCAAGAAAAGCTAGTTATCATCAGTCTACTGACCAGACCATCGCTTATGGATTACGCAGCAAGTATAAAGTCAAAAGAAAAAAAATCGGGACATTGCCGAAAAAAGAGTGTAAGACAGAACATCCATATATAAACTACCAATTGTTATAATTGAGCAACGATCAAAACAAAGAGTTAACACCGGGGAGAAAACCAAACTATCCGACTACTACCAAAAAGAAAACCAAACTATCCGACTACTATCAAAAACTGTAATGGGGTACAGTATCAACTATCAACAATTTGATAGGAGAATATCATAATCAAAATCAAACTACAAAAACTAGTAATTGTGGGGAGGAAGGGAAGCTGAAATATAAAGCTTTGGCACACCATATCCTAAATACATATGGATCAAGGTATCTCAGCAATCAATTTTCAGCAATTATTTCAATATTTGAATGAAACAAAGTACTAAAACCATATCAACATTGCGGGTAATTTTAGCAGTAAAAAAAAATCATGAAGAGATATAAATTGAAGAAGAGGGGGGAAATACCCCTTGGATTCTCTTGCCGGTGACGGGGCATTTCGGTCCGCTGGCTCTCTTCTGAGTGGTCTGGTACACGAGCTTCCCTCCTGGTTTATTGAAGGTAAAAAAATTACAATCAAATTAAAAAATTAAAATCAGAAAGGAAATGATGAAAAGGGGGGTTTTTGGAGAAGATAGGTTACCGGGGGTTTTGACAATTCTGTGTTGATTGGATTTGGTGGCGTAGCTGTGGCGCTTCCGGTAAGTCAGTCTCTGAACCATTTTCGCCTCTTACCTCACAAATCTCTCTCTCTCTCTCTCTCTCTCTCTCTCCACTGCTTGGATAAGGCCGGCCGACGCAATTTCTCAGAGCATAAACTTTATACCAGACCTAAAAGTCAAAACCCTAGACTCTACTTCCCGATTAAAGTCGCGCTTTTGCTCTACAGAAACGCGTTTTCTCAACTAATAATTACTTCCATTTTTCTTTCTTTTTTTATCTTTTTTGAGCTATCTATCAACCTATAATTACTAAAATAGTGGATTTTATTTTTTTGAAAATAAAAAATAATGGGTCGAGGCAAATCGATTTTTCATATTTAGTTCACATATTTCTAAATACAATTTGCGAATACTCAAAACACGTATAAATATATATATATATTTAAACATGTTTCACTCCATCGACTCGTGGAGCGCGGCCGCAGATTTTGTTAATTATTAAAACGTCAAAACGTATCACTTGTTTCATTGTGTCGTTTGCTGTATACTGAATTTGTTGATGATTCGCAATTGTTCAATTAATCAAAATAAGTACTTATTTTATCGATAATTTAGCGAGTCCAAACAATTATTAGACGAATCGATTCATCAAACAAGTTGCAATTATTCAACAAATCATGACACATCTTATTCGACAAATGAAAGTCTACATGTTCAATCAACAAGTTAGAAACTAACTCCACACAAAACTTTTTATTACAAAATTTTACCAAATTCAATTTGGTCACATGTATACATGCCGAGAAAAAAAATGTACTATTTATTACTAAACGTTTAACACGGGAAGAGCAAGAAAGCCGGTTCCATTCGAAGTTTCCTATTTACAAAACTAATCCTATCTAGTTTGTTAAGACACCAAATCAGTTGATCTCTTGTTATTTTCGACATGTTCAAAACCCTACACACTAATTTCATATCCACCTGCGAGAAAAAATGAAGAACTTGATCCGAATGCGAATCATCTTCTTCCCTACATCGTCTTAATTTCCTCAAAACGCAATTGTCACACCTCAATAGTTCCTTCAACTTCCTCTCTTTCTGTAAATACCAAAAAAAAACATTTTTGGGGTCAATTAGCAATATTTCAAGACTTATGAAATCATAAGTAGTGTCATCCAAATTGAATACTAAGGACAAACCTTTTGAAGAATTCTCTTCACCTCCACAAGTAACTTGCTGTCTTCTTCTATGATTGGAATACAAGATAATTTCTTGTGGCGGCCATTGATTGGTGGAGCCGAACAGTCCTTGTCCGCTTGTACGAATCTCCAAAATATTCGTATCGATTCTTCGACAATCTCCACTAATACGTCGCTTGTAATAACATATTCATCATCCATTTCTTTTTTCCTTTTTTCTTTCTTCTTGTCCTCTATCAAATCAAAACCACCAAAATTTAGTGCACGCACTTCCATCATATAGTATATATATCTTTAGATTTACAAAAAAACAATAATAAAAAAATATTCTTGATCGTCACCTCTTATTACAGGAATTTGAAGAAGATTGCGAACGGCACACCTTGTCTTGACGTAATACTGCACCCTCGGCCCTTGAAAAGGTTCGTCTTCTATGAATCTCTGCATGAGGACTTGAAGCTGTTGAAACTCACCCGCCACCTCGTTGTACATGCGGGACCCACGAGGGTCGGAATCCCATAATTGAAGGGCTTTATCGTACTGCCAGTGCAAGAATTCCCATGAAAGGCACATTTGTCCGACATAGACAGCTTCTAGATCGCCTTGAAGTTCCATGATGAACTTCTTCATCGGATTACTACCGTTGATTTTGTGTTTAAATAGCCAGATATTTTGCGATACGAGTGATTTTAGTGATGGGGGTGGAGCTTTTTGCTTTGGAATCGCATGATCCTTTAGCTGCAGAAAACCTGCGTTTTTTTAGTAGAATCGGATTAGGGTTGTCTTAAAGATCGAAACTTTGTAATGAAAACGCTCTTCTTTTTTCATATGAAAAAAACAAGAAAACAAGATCAACTGCAATCAACTTAAATTATTACTCCATTTGACTTTTGACATATGTTGTTCTTGTAAACATGGAAATTGTATTAATATTATATAATTTCATTTGTTGGGTACTTGTGATTCTTTTAATATTTATTACAGGATACCATTTGAAGAAAATGTGACAATTAATGCTTCATTAATTAATTAACAACCTATTCAAATCTCCACCTAATCATGCTGTGTATTTGACCCATCCCTCTAATGCCTTGTAACAAAAACCAGATCTTGTGGGCCTTTTCTTCAACACCAAAAATATCTAAAATTCAATTAAATAATTTTAGTACACCTACTTATTTCAATTTCTAATGTTCAATTGTTGGATTTAGATTACTTTAACCAAATATAAAGAATGTAAATAAAAATTGAGAATTGTAACTAACCCATGGCGTACATCTTCTGGTAATTGATGATATCGAATTTGCGCATCCTCTCTCTATAGCTCTTGTAGAATTTGTGAAGCTCCCCTACGCAATAACTTTCACGTTGGAATTCGTCGATTTTCCACGGCTTTAAATTGTCCATCATTTTCGGGGACGATTCGGAATCTTCTTGAATAGTGGGCAAACCGGTCGCCCTAACCTTTTTCAGTTCCATTCTCAACTGCTCAATCAATTCTTGATGCTCCCACAACGACTCCAATTTGTTTGAATCGTCAGATTCGGACACTGAAGAATCGTCTGACCTCGTTTTTTCAGATTCGTCATCGTTTGTATTGGCCAAATCCTCATTAAAGTCTCGGTCACGCAAAAAATCTGGATTTTCAAGATTGTGCTCTTCTAGTTTCTTGAGTTCTTCCATTATATCACTATCTTCTTCGTCAAAATTATCCGAATCGGACAACAACTCACTCTCCGACTCAGTTTTCTCATCCAATTCTCCTTCAAAATCTCCGTCAAACAAGAAACCATCGTGCACAAAACTAACGGACTCGCAATCGGAATCGGTAATCACAGAGTTCTTTTCTGAAAAAATCCGATACTCGTCGGAAAAATCTCGATTTCCTTCGATATTCCCTTTTTCCTCTTCCTCGTCAACAACACCTCCTAATTGTGGCTCATTTTCCTCTGTATCAAATACCAATACTTCTTTAATTTCTCTGTTTTCAATTTCATCATCAAATACTTGCTCATCAATTACTACATCAGTAGCATTAATTTCTTCCTTCACGGGAAAAGTCTCCAGTTCATCAATAAAGGTTGTAATAAAACTTTTGCCAGATGTGAAATCGTTTCTGCCAGAGAGGACCACTTGGGAATTAAATATATCACCTGCTCCTTTCTGTATCCGGCTAAATTCTTCATATGTCTGAAACTTAAATTTCAAATATACCCCTTCTTCTTCTTCTTCTTCTTCTTTTTCATCTTCTTTATCTCTAATTAATTCAGTACCTTCTTTCTGGGACTTATCCACTGGTAATAACTCGGACTCTGTTTCAAGAACATTTATTTCATTAACCTTCTTTTTTAAGGAACCACTCCCATCTCCATCCAGCCTGCAATAAACCAAAACCCACTTATCAAAAATCACAAATAATCAATTAATACTGGAATTAAAAATTATATAAAAAAAAAAAAGATCGAATTTTTAAACCTGAAAATGTAGGTGGAGATGAAACTGAAGATTGAGCGTAGATACACGGAAACAGCTTGAATCAAACAAACCAGTTTCTGACAGAGAAACCTAGTATTAGAACCGGCCATCCTTCCAAACACGGCCCAACAAAAACGCGGTTTGGGATAACCGGATAAGCATCAAAATCAATGAAGGCTGTGTGAAAAGAAAAAAAAGAACAAAAAAACAGGGGATTGAATTTTTATGGCTCCTTTGAATATTTCAACGAACGAATAAGAATTAGGGGGGAAAACACACATAAATCGGAAGAGGTTGAAATCCGACCTAATCGGAGAAATCAATGGGTGATGAGATTTCAAAGCAGGAATTGAAGGGAAGATGTTTACCTGTCAGCGACTAGGTCTAAGGGCTTTCTTGGAATTTCTGTCTTCTTCATTACATACATGAAACATGCATGAAGAAACATAAACCCTAAAAAATGAAATAAACTGAAATTTCTCTATTTTTTTTTTCTGGGCAGCAGATTTTATCACTTCTGAAGTCAGTTTTTGCTGTTCATTTGTTTGTGTGTGTTTGTGTGTGAGAGAGAGAGATTAGAAAATTGACATTTAGAATTTTCGGACAAGGTACAGTAAGGCAAATATAAAAAAATAATTTTATACAAAAGCCCCTCGTGTGGTTTTTCTTTTTTCTTTTTTTGTCTCGAAAACTTTTATTTATTTTATATACACACACATTTTTAATCAACAAACGGTGTCGTATGAGTAATATCTTAAATCTTTTGGGTGATCGTCTAGAAGATCTTACGTAATTATTATTTTAAAATATTTAATTTCATAAATTATGTAATGTGGTTGTGTATTGAATGGTGGATTGACAACTTTGTCTACAAAATCCGATTGGCTAAAATCGTGGTTTTTAGGTGCCAACTTTTACTATATTATTATTGTGTATGGCATTTAATTATTACGGTTCGTAATTATTATGATTCTACTAACCAAAATTTATTGCCTAATTATTTATGGCGCAATTGGTTATTGAGACAAGTGTGCATTTATGACATTCCTTTTATTTTTTGATACAATAAATGTCGATTCGATTTATGAATATTTTTTTGACTTTGAACGGGATTTTTACATTTTTCTAACTTTATTTTCGCGAAATTCAAAACACGAGAATTGTTACTTGTTGAGTTATTTTTTCAATCCAACTTGAATCACCTAAATTTGATATCAAATGACAAAGTTATGTATAAATGAAAAACATCAAAGTTATAGGCATTGCTCATAGACTCAAGCATATTTTTATCACCCGACATCCAATCTTGGTGATTCCAATTGGATTACACAGCTAACGCAAAATTATACTATATTTTGAATTTTGCCAAATTTCAAATCGAAAACAGTCAGAATCACATTTAAAGTCGACCCGATATAATAAAAAAAAAAAAAAAAAACTACATTTATCGCATCTCTTTTATTTATTTTTTCTATTGCTCTTATCCCAATTCAATGTGAAATTGTTTATATATATGGGAAATTAACTTTTCATTTATGAGTATTTTCCTTTAATGCTACAAAAATTATAGACAACTGGCCTAAGTACCTATTTCATAACAAGCGATGGTCATCTATCACAAATTTACTAAGTTTGCTTACATATTATTAAAATAAAATTTTTGATTTTGTCCCTAAAAATAATAAATAAATCTTTGGATGAATGGGTATACTAATATTGGATTTGATTATATAAATCCAAACTTTGCACTTTAAAATATAAGATATTCACACGTTAGTTTTCACATTTAATAAATTTGAAAATCGAATCAATTGATTTTTTTTTTTGGTTGAGAATGAATTCTTTATTTTCTTAATTCAATATGAACTGTCCATAATTAAATAAATTTGTGTAATTATTTCGTGAATAGTATACAAGTATACAACTTTGTTAGAGATAATGAAATGTCACGTCATAACACACCACATCAGTTGACAGTCTAAAAGTAGAAATTTATGTAACAAATTCATCTATATTTATTTATTTTTTTTTTTTTTTTTTTTTTTGGGTAATGCAGGAACCCGCAGCCAACCATATAGGTGCACTGGGTAAACCTACACTCTCGTATAATAGCTTGCAAACCATACGAGAGATGTAAACCACACTAGGCCAACCATGTGTGACAAGCTCGACCTAGCGACCGTTGGCAAGGGGATTCGAACTTGGGTCAATTGACCAAATAATTTATTATTATTTATTCTTTTTGGGTTACTAATGGTAAATAGGAAAAGTTCCTTCACATCAAACACACGATCGATCAACTTTTCAAACTAATAATAATTATTCACTAAAATGCCGTGTGGAATATATGACGCGTTTTTATGTACAAGTCCTATTCTCAACAATCCTCAAAATTCCATCTTATGTTTGGTTTACCCGATTATTTTTATGTTACATCTGGTGAATGTGACATTTAGTAGATTTTTGTCGTTGATTTACACACAACAATGTTGGTATGTGTGTGTATGCCTGCTTATGAATACTGAATAGTAAAGATCCACCCAATATATTTCACCAGAGTATATTAGTGTGAATCATCTGTCGTTTACCGATGCACTGTCATTGGATGTATGTCTTATAGTATAATATTACTTTTATTAATTTTGTGGTTTTATCTATTTATTTGTTGATTATTTAGAATAAGAGTTAAATGCAAAAACCCCCCCTGTGTAATTCCTAAAGGCCAAAAAACCCCCTAGGAAAAAATAAGTCACCAAAACCCCCCTAACAAGTGTTCAATGAAGCACACTCGACCCTTTTTTGTTTTTGTCTGTTGACCGCTCGCGAAAAGACAAAAATGCCCTTCAGATAAATATATCCAACCTCTAGAATTTTATGACTCAAATGAAATTTTCAAAATTTTCAATTCAGTCCCTAGCACTTTCAATTTAGCCCTCTTCTCCAATTGAAAAAAAAAAAAAACAACGCACACTTCAATTTCAATTTCTCAGCTCATAGCTCAACGGCGGCTGCAACGGCAGCTGTATTTGAGAGGATTTTGCGATGGGCTTTGCTATTCGTCGGAGAATTCGGCGAAGTGTAGCTCGCCGGACCTCGATTGGCGACGACTTTAGAGAAGATCTGAACTCGCGGCGGCGGCGGCGGCAGCGGCAGCAGCGGCGGCGGCGGTCGCTGGGCAACGTCGGAGAAGATGGCGATGTCGGACAACAAAATGGGCGAAGAAGATGAATTTGAGGTTGGTCTTCAGTTTGACGGGGAGGAAAAAAGATTTTTCTTTTTTATAAAAATTAGAAAAGATATTTCTTTTTTATAAAAATCTTTTTTATAAAAGCACACTACTTTCTCCTACAATCAACCTTAAAGATTACACCCCCACCCCCATAAAAGAAAAAAAAAACCAGAAAAGAAGATCACATATATATATAAATCCCATAGTTCTTGAAAACGAAAAAAAAAATCAGTATGCTTCTTCTGCACAAAAGTCAAAATATATATAATTTTCGGGAAAAAACGAAAAAAATGGGATTAAAAGATATAGGAGAGACGCTGCCACCGGGTTTCAGGAAAAAACGAAGAATTGGTTTGCCATTATCTTTACAAGAAAGTTTGAAATGAACAAATTCTCCGAGCTACCCTCGTCGAAATCGACCTCCATGTTTGCGAGCCATGGCAGCTCCCCGGTACCCTCGTCGAATTGTGTTTTGTTCTTTTTTAATTAATTCATTTATATTTAGTGATTTTTTTCTTTTGTTTTTGTTTAAAATGGTACCAGAAAAACTAAGAGAGATTTAGAGGGGCACTTGCGTCTTTTCACACAAAAAATCGCACCAGCAGTCGCTTTGGTAGCGCGTGCATGACACGAATGAGATAGAGGGGGGTTTATGACTTTGACTACTAATCACAGGGGGGTTTTAGTCACTTAATTTTACCTAGGGGGTTTTTTGGTGTTTAGGAAAATCACAGGGGGTGTTTTTGCATTTAACTCTTTAGAATAATAACACACAATATGACGAATTTACTTACTAATATTTAAATACAATTTCATGCTTCCAAAGTACTAAAAGAATCTAGATTATGTATATATATATATATATATATATATATATATATATATATATATATTGCTTCAATTGGATATGAAATATTAAATCTCAATATTTTTTATTTTTTATTTTTGCTTCTTTTATACCAGAAATTAATTTAAACAAGGTGAGTACTTTTCGTAAATAAAGGCCCAAGTTGTGTGCACTACTGGATAAAGCCTTTTTTGATTTTGAGGCCCATAATTTGTATGTTAAAATCATTTGTTCAACAATGTTATAGTTTTGGACACTTCTTACTTCTAACTTTGTGTTTTTTATTTTTTAATTTTTCCCTCTAATCAATGCAACGAATTGAGTCTGATTAGCTTATGAAAAAAATTACTGAGTTTGATTAAAGTCCCATTTAACTAAATTTATTTTAAACAACTGATAAGCTCTAATATCGGAGAAACTGTTATGCATGTTTTAACAGCCTATTTATATAAGTTTAGCCAAACCCCTCTAAGTAACGAGACTAAAATAAATCATGAAAATAAATTTTCATGATCAAATATGTGTATGCACGCACCACGAGATTTATTTTACTACGATATGGTTCACTCACATGCAATTTGAACAATTTCGTTTTCTTCTAGACAAACATTAATTAGACAAATGCAGTGGTCTCACTCATCTATATCAGACACAACTGATCAAAAGGTCTTTAATTAAAATAAATTTAAATAAAATTGAAAAATTGAAAGTTAGACATCACAAGGATCATGACGCATGATCATGTATAAATCAACTATGGACCATTTTAGTTAATGCTCTTCCTCTATTCATTCAATATATATATATATATATATATGTACTTTTTCTTTTTTTCCTTTTTGTTGGATTTGATCATCAATTTCATCGGAATGAGTGGTTGTGATGAGAAAGGAACTCGAGAAGTGCAATTTAAGCAACTAATTGTTCATACACTGGAAGATTGATCACAAGGAAACAACTAATTGCCTTTGCTGAGGTGGTGCACGCGTATTGGATGAGGTGGAGCTCGAGACACATGTGTTGGAGACTTTGGAGGAAGCTAACTTCTGGGAGGGTATAAAATAATGAGTAGTTGTCTTTAATTAGGGTTACGCGAAAGAGAGAGAAGAGAAACCAAAGAGAGAAGAGAGGAAAAATAGTGATATTTATAGTTTAATCTTCTTGTTGATTGTTTTGTAAACTATTGTTCAAATTGATTGAATAAAGATCTCGTTCGTCCTCCAATTGGTTTGTGTTTTATTACAGTTGATTCATTAAATTTCTCATATACTAGGGCTCATGTAGAATTATAGTATTCTTGTTTGCATATATTATGTGCATGAACAGTCTTATTTGTGGTATGTTCACGATAAATTACAGAAGAGCATATATCGATAAAAGAATACGCGATAAAGTAATACTGATAAAATAATAATTTTGCTTGAATAATAATTCAAAGAGATGATATAAATGGAGAGCGCGGAGCAATAGTATATTAAATGCACCATTAATAATGGTAAAATGAAAATAATAGCAACCCTTTGCTTTATTATTGCCATGGACTTTAATTTATACTGCTTCAAGCCCTTAATTACTATTTTTTGAACCTTAATTAAATATTTCTTCAAATAATTTAGGGTGGCAATCTTAATTATTGGTACCCAGCTGATCAATAAGTGTGTGTAATCTTCCACAGTCGATTTTCACAGAGCTCAAGAGTTAATAAGTTGCAAGGGGGTCCCCACCCCCCATTATTCCTCATTCATTTTCCACATATATACACAATTCATGATCATATCATATTACTAATTAATTAATGGGTTTTCTGCGTTTGAAAAAACTGATCATTAATGAATTATCAGTGGAATTATGAAATTTTGAAGAAAATAATAAAGTGGTAACAGATTCTTGAAAATAGGAGGAGAGTAATTAGTTAATTACACACAAGTGGGAGAGTCTTCAATCTTCATTAGTAGTAACAGTTATTACTATAGCAGTAAGCATGCAGCAAAACTTCATTACTACATACTAAATACATGATTTAATAATAATTAATATAGTCTGTGTAGTACTGTGTGTGTGTGTGTGACTGTGTGAGAGAGAAAGAGAGCACAGTAACGTTGAATAATATAGGGTGAAAAATTAGGGTTTTTGCACAATCTGCAGGAGGGGTAAATTAAAGCACATTGAATGCCGACGCGGTTTTAGTGAAGCTGCAGCAGGAAATAAAATTAAAAGAAAAAAAGAAAAGGAAAAACAGAAGAGGGAATACACAGAGCTGACTTTAGGTGAGTCCATGGCGGAGTAAATGCATTTGCTGTCAACTTTTTTGACTCGTTTGTTTTCTTCCTAGGTCACTCACTCACTCAGTACTACTCTCTTCTCATCACACATTATACATACATACATACATACATATATATGTGTATTCCCTTTCTATATATATATGCAGCTAGATCAAATAAAAACCCTACGACCTCCACTATACTACACCATTAATTTATAGTACTGTCTCTTCTCTTTCAATCAAGATAATTATATCCCAACAAGATAAAATCAAGAAGTTTTTTTTCGATTCAAACCCAGAAAGAAATTAATACACAGTGTGTGTTCGGAGTTAACAACGTTGTATTGTTTTGTAAATCAAAATGGGGAGACCACCTTGCTGCGAAAAGGTCGGAGTGAAGAAAGGGCCATGGACACCTGAAGAAGATATCATGTTAGTTTCTTATGTTCAAGAACACGGCCCTGGTAATTGGAGAGCTGTTCCTTCTACTACAGGTATTCTTTTTTCTTTTTTTTTAATAATTATTTTATTGCTGACAAATTATATATAATTTAATATTTTATTTTTGTGGGTCTAGGGTTGAGGAGATGTAGTAAAAGTTGCAGGCTGAGGTGGACGAACTACCTCCGGCCCGGAATCAAGAGGGGTACTTTTACCGATCAAGAAGAGAAGATGATTATCCAGCTACAAGCCCTTTTAGGCAACAAGTAATTTATTTAATTATTTACTGCTGTAAAAAAAATTAGGTTTTAATTGAAAAAAATCGAGTCTTTAATGTGTTTTTTCATTTAATTTCTGTAGATGGGCAGCCATAGCTTCTTACCTCCCGGAAAGAACAGACAACGACATCAAGAACTACTGGAATACCCATTTGAAGAAGAAGCTGAAGAAGCTCCAAACCGGGTCGGGCGATGATGACCGACCCGGATCCGGCCATGGTTTACTCTCACACTCCATTTCTAGGGGGCAATGGGAGAGAAGGCTGCAAGCTGACATCACCACTGCCAAACAAGCCCTTGAAGATGCCTTGTCATTTGATAAGAATAATGATAATAATATTAATAATAATTTGGGATCCGAATCATCTTTTTCTTACAACAACAAACCTAGTTCTACTACTACTCATCATCAGGGTTTTTCGTATGCGTCGAGCACCGAGAATATAGCGAAGCTGCTCAAAGATTGGGTGAAGAGCACGCCGAAAAACGACGAATATTCAAAGTGTTCGAGTACTCAGAATTCATCGAACAATGCGGTTGATTTATACGAAGAAAAGCCTACTCCATGCACTTACAACAATAATAACAATAATGATAGTAATAAGAGCAAATCCGGGATTGATTTGTCGGAAGCGTTTGAATCCCTATTTGGTTTCGAGACTTTCGAGAATTTCGAATCTTCGAATTCGGACGAGTTTTCGAGATCCGCTTCGCCGAGTGATCTTGTTCATGATGAAATCAAACCCGACCCGGTTTCGCTTGCCCCGTTATCCGTGCTGGAGAATTGGTTGCTGGATGATCAAGGGAAGGATTATTTGACCAACTTCTCTTTTGATGATCACAATCCGGATTTATTTTAGATTTTGTTAATTAATTTATTGTTATTTCATTTGTTGGGAAATTGATTTTTTTTTTTAGGTCCTAACATCAGACATATTTTTATTTTCATTTTTTATTTTGTGTATTTTGGCTTGAAGGGTTATTTTGGTCCAATGCTAATCAACTTCTTGTTTTGGTTATTTTTACTTAACAACGTTGTAATTTTAGTACATGTCTGATTTGATTCATTTGAAGGAGTATATAGTTATTCGAATTACCTACTTAAGTCTGCATTATTAACACATTAATTCGGTCAATTAATCAATTGTCTGTACATATTAAATGCTGGTAATTAATAAAGTAAAGGGGCTTCATCAGATCAACATCAATCTCGATTGAATTAATTCTTTTGAACTTTTCACAAAGCTTCGGTTTTGGTTTCGATTTCGAAATCATTTTTTCAAGAGTAAATTAAATCGATCTCTCTGTACATATACTTTAGTCTTTCATTAATTCCACAAACCCTACTCGTTAAAAGTTGATTACGAATAAATTCATACATTTTGTAATACGATCGCAAGTGATATTTGAAAAATAATCTTTATCATATAGAAGAAAGAAACGTTAGGCCAAATCCCTTACAATCATAATGTCATATTTGTAAAAATAAATTATTATATATATATATATATATCAAGATTATTAGATTTTTTTTTCTCAAAATTGATAATTTTATGGAAAAAGTAGAAATTGAACGTGTATCATAATTCATAACCAATATATAAGATCTTATTTAATAATTTGGACCCCCATGAAATAAATTTACATAAATATAATAATAAAAAAAAATGATGAAGAAAAATAGTAAAAATGTGTGGGCAGGAATAGCCTTGGAAATATGCAGGGTTTGCCTTAAATGCCACATGTGAGTTGTTTAAGTCTTTTCTACGATAAAGTCACACACAAGAAAACCATAACCCTAATTATTAATTAATTAATTGAATTTCCCTCCCTTTCTAAATCTCCACCAGCTCACTCTGATAATGACACGTGCCCCTTTTTATTTCCTATACTAATTTTCCTACATCTATTTATTTTTCAATTAAAATTTCAGAATATACTATTTGAAATTTAACAAAAAAAAAAAAGAAAATTAGAATTGAGGGATGGGCTTACTACAGGCTACAGCTATGACAAATAAAAGTATATATATATATGTGTAAATTAAATAATAAAAAAAAAATTAAATATGGTCACATGGTTAGGGGACCCCTTGGGGGCTAGGGCTACAGTAAATCCAGTGAGCCAATCGCAATCGATGTCTGTGCATACATGTACATGACAGGTGCATGTGCACCCTCACCCGCATCCATCATCTTCTCATGCATGTGATGTGCACACTTACATATTAATTACTTCTAATTTATTCATTTTTTATTTAATTTATTAATTAATTAATTAATACTTTCCTTTTTATTTTTAATTCAAAATAATATGGGCTTTTTTTTTTTCTCGTACCTCGTTTAAATATTTCTAGAGGCCCTTTTTTTTGTCAATCAAAAGCCCATTTTCTGAAAGCCTATGTTTGACCAATTTCTAATCATTGCAAAATTTCCTGAGAGAAAGAGAAAAAAGAATTGACCTTTTTTTTTTTTAATCCGTAAATTATAGTACATGAACTATTTATTTGAGAAAATTGAAAAATTGATTGTTCTATGAAACAATTTCGATGTGAATTGTGATTGAAGGCCTAGCTAAAATAGCAAAATTTTGTAGGCTCCAAGACAAGAGATCTAATTTAAGAAAATTACAAATACCCCTGAGGTATGGTCAATTTAAGAAAAAACCCCTACTTTTTGGATAATTACATCTACCCATCAACTATGATTTTTTTCTTACATCTCCGCCCTTATGGTGTTAAATTCAACATAATCATCTACATTTCCTGGAATATGTGCTCTAGTTTGTACTCGTTTTGTGTAAAAATACAGTTTCTGATGCACTACAATCTGATATATGCAAGCCAAAAAACAGATACTATGGTCATCTTGCTTTAAAATGTGGAGTTCGAATGGGATAAAACGGGTACAAAAGTGATAATTTTCCATATAATCTCGAAGATCCACTAAATTTGAAACCGTAAGGGTGGACGTATAAAAAGATTTATAGTTGAAGGAGGTGGTTATAATTACTCAAACACGAAGGGGGTTTTGTAATTTAACCATACCTCAGGGGTGGTTGTAATTTACCCTATTAGAAGATGATGAATTAGTTGGCATTTGTTCTAATTATTGTTTGTGCATATAATTAGAGATTTGTTCTAATTAGTGCTATGTTGAAATGAGAGCAAGAATCTCGACAGGTGATATTAAGAAACCATAAATTTGAACTCATTCTGAAAGATGTGATATGAATAAATGTCGTCATAAACAATTCGAGTCGAGCTGACATCATGTCTATTTAAAAGTACTCAAATTTATATCGAACTCGTAAAATTGGGTTTGATCAAGAACACAGTCCAACTCGAATAGCCTCGACTTTTCGTACATACTGTATCATTTTTCTTAGCTTAAGACGAGCTTTATCAAATTATCGAATAAAAATGTTCATGTGTTAATTCTTTATGTTAACAAATTGAACTCATATGAGACCTCAACGAACGGTCTCGAATCAAATCGATTATCAAATAATTTGATTTGATTTTTGATCATAAATATTAATTAATTATGTGAATGCATTTGTGGTCCATGCTTAAATTACGTATGGATCGGACTTCCTTATTAAGGACCTATTTTCCCACTTTCTTTTGTTTTTCAGAGATATTTTCCCACTTTCTTGATTTAATTAAAACGCATTATTATTACTATTATTATTAGATCATAAATTCAAGGATAATTGTCCTTGACGGACAGCTGTCAAGTTGCATCAATCAACGCCAAATTTCCTCATTAGATTAAGCACTTTCACAATTAACACCACCATAATTAGCAGTGTTTTGCTTAAATGAATTAGAAATGTCTAATTCCACTAATAAATCTCCAAAATAAATAAATAAAATACTTACGAGTCTAAGATGCTGAATAAATGGTCCCCTGTAAATAAAATAAATAATCCTGAATTAAAGATGGGTTATGGGTTGGGTTGTTGAGAAGCAAAGTATTTAATCACCCATCTCTTTAAGTCCCAATCAATCTCATTAGTCTAAACTAAGTTGTTGATTAGTGATTAATTATCACGTTAATGCGTTTTTCAGTCACTTTTACCTATTTTTTTCTCTTGACTTGACAAACATGAAAGAAACCCATTATCACCAACTACGTGCACTACTAGCTGTTAGCTACTTATACTTTAGTTTGATTATTTAATTACAGAACTGATAGTTGAAAGATTGGGAAAAATACAAATTTCGACCCTCAAGTTCGCATCAATTACACATTTGGCCCCTCATGTTAAAAAAAACTCATCTGATCCCTCATATTTTAAAAATTCAACATTTTTAGTCATTTTCTTCAAGTTTCCATCATTACAGAGCAGATACATGAAAGATTGGGAAAATTACAAATTTCATTCCTCAAGTTTGCACCAATTTCACATTAAACATATTCACAAAAAAACACATTTGGTCCCTCGTGTTTAATTTAAAAAATTCAACACTTTTAGTCATTTCTGTCAAGTTTTCGTTAATAATAACGGAATCAAGCATGTGCACAACACTGCCTAACTGACGGACTAACGATTAATTGGCGGAAATTACCAAAAATGTTAATTAACGAAACATGAGGAACCAAATGTGAAATGTACACAAACTTGAGAGATGAAACTACAATTTTTCCATTGTCCATTATTATATCCTTGAAGCACAGACTCATCACGGGTT